TTACGGTTATTTATAATTTTCTACTCATAAAAAGTATATTTTATTGTATGAATATATTATATGTGTTTATAAAAGGCTCACATGAATAACAATAATTGAACAAAATTTCTATGGATTTACTGAACAGGAGAGTGATTATAGTTAAGTGATTATAATAAATTTAGTTAATTGGGTGTCGGGTGATTTTATTTTCTCATGGGTATTACATATACCTATTGATAATTTCACTTTATATTACTAGAATAATATTATATTATAATATTTTTTGGGAGTTTATGAAGTTATATGGGAAGTTATACCTTTTGGTCTCATATTATACAGTAAATGCTTTATCAGATTATTACAGTAAATTCATAAAAACAATAATTTATGTGTTTTTACTGATTGATACTGTGTGCATTTTCTCACTATTTTGCAGATTAGTGTTAATTTTTTGTTTAGCATTATTGCAATTCAATTATCAGTAAAAATTTGATATATTAAAATCTAACCACAAACTCCTTGCATTTGATTGTATCACAAAACCTACATTGAAATTTATATTCATAATTATTGCTTACTATTAACCCCAAAAATAGTTGTATTTTTGAGCAAAAATCTTTTATCTAACAAGTAAGCTTTTAAAATGTATCAAAAAAATGTAAATTTACTTTAAATTCTTTAATAAACAAANTATCACAAAACCTACATTGAAATTTATATTCATAATTATTGCTTACTATTAACCCCAAAAATAGTTGTATTTTTGAGCAAAAATCTTTTATCTAACAAGTAAGCTTTTAAAATGTATCAAAAAAATGTAAATTTACTTTAAATTCTTTAATAAACAAATTAAAGTTAAGAATTGTCTGAATAATTTTGATTACTTACAAAATTTATAAATTATTAAAATTAACATAATTTTTGGTTTTTATTAAATATCACAATTGGTATCAAAGATTAAATCTAAAAAATAAGTAACTTATATATAAAAGTAGAAATTCTTAAACTATTTCTATGTATAATAAAATATAAAATATAGTACAATATTTTTAAACATATTTATAAACAAAACATTATTCTCTGTGAGAATTTGTAATAACTGTTGTACACAATATAGCCATGAATTTATGGGTACGACTCTATAGAAAAGGAAAGGTATTTTAAGATAGAGAATATTGAAATGAAAATAATTAAATAACATTCAAAAACTATTTGATATTTGATGTTCAATAAATGTTTGTATAGTCTGTTATTGTTTAAAACTCATTTATTTATTCGTGATATATTATTTGTAAAAAACATTAATTAACAATTAATCAGATTTTTTTCAAATAAAAAGTATAAATATATTTAAAACTTCATATTTCCGGTTATCATAACTTGTAGTAATATTAATAGGCTTAACAAATAAGAAATAAATTATTTAATATTTTTTTTTGACTAAATAAAATTTTGTTTGGATTTGTATAATATATCGGTATATATAAAAACAAATTGTAAAAACAAATGCATGATATTAACGCTATTCTTCTTTTGTACTTTCAGTGAATTTATTGTTTACTTTAATAGTTTTGTGTGACTTTCCATTCACTGATAATTGGCTTTTATTACCTCTAAGTGTGCCATAAGTGGACGAACTCTTGTCTATTTTGGCCGAACGTATCGCAAAATATAAACCAATAAATGCTATTATAATTATAATTATAGATTACATTAATATATTAATAATCGTGGAATATATTTATTTTCAGAGTATATTTACCTGAGATTATAAACAGTGATGTGATGAGTATTAGTGTCAGATTTCCCGAAATGAATACTTTGATCATTAAGTATATGAAAGGAATTCCGGTTAAGAATATATTTGTCCATAAAATCAAAAAGGGTAATTGACTTCGTTTATTGGGCACATGGATGCCAGGGAACGTTTTGTTTTCATAATAGTATTCCATTAATTGATCCTAAAAATACACGTTTTATTAGGTTTTCTACGCTAAAGAATATTCTTATAAACAGAATATTCTTATACGGAAAATATGAGTTTGTCATGAAATGCAAATGTATTTGTCATACCTTTTCACTGTAAAGATCGTACAGATATTTGGCAATCGATTCCTCACTATCGGTGGGAACAGTACTCAACGGAATCCTTTTGATATGAACCGAACCATTCATGGGAACGCCTTTTATAAGATTTGATATTTTGATGGACTCCTTGTTCTCATCAAAAGCTAACTGAAGACTATAGAGAGCGGCCTCAGGGTCTGGGTTTAAAACATATGCCAATATTTTAATTAAAAATATATATACAGGTACATTTATTGTTAAGCTCACTGGTATATAAAACTAATATAATTAACATTTAATATACAAATCACATTAATAAACACAAAACACTTACACTTCTCCTTCAAGTGTCGCACGGAATACGCAAATCCCTTAACTCTGGGCAGCAAATGGTGTTTATAGTGAACTCCCAGTCCCCTATCGGTGGCAAACTTCATACTCGTCTCGTACTTCTGTGCCGTAAATCTGGTGCCTTCGGCGGCGATCATGAGTAGCGTCGGCTGTTTGTGAGCCATAATGTGGTCCAAACCGATCGCTATGTTGTCGGCGTCCTTACGCCAGTCCCTCTCCAGGAATATGTATTCGCCGAAAAAGAAGGTCCACCCGATTATCGGCACATACCGGAGCTCTCGTTTGGCAAAAGCCTTGCTCGAGCCCAGACAGCCGTACCTCTCGGCCACCAGCCATAGGAAGGCGGCGTCCGTTTCGTACCTATGGTTGGCCACCACTAGTGAGTGTTCGCTACCGAACCCATCGGCGGTGGACTTGTCGGCGAAATATATCTCAACCGTACTGCCCGACCATACCTCGCATATCGCTATTATCTCTGTGTTTAGGACATAATTGTATTGTTTGATTAGTTTTTATGGTGGAGAGAGAGAGAGAGAGAGAGAGAGAGGATGCTAAACACGTGAATACTTAGAGACCTTGAATAATAGTCAACTTTTACATTATCTATTTGAATTTAAATTGAATTATTATAAAATATAGCTGTACATAATTTTAAACATTCAATATAGCTATTATATTGTACTGTATTATATAAAATATATCTTAATATACATTTTAAAACTTAGTTATAATGGGTTTCTATGAATATTATATAAATTGACATTGATCTAGCTAAATTACTATTTACAAAATTTGATTCAAATTTAATTTAAAAACAAAATTAATGAATACTTACGCGAATAAATAATATATTGAAAGTACGAATTGATTTGTCGATAGAGATTTACATTCACATATCTTATGGTCAGATAATTGATGAGTTGTATTAGATTTACTAATAAACTGCTGAGGAATACGAAAAATGCACAGAAGCCTACTATTAAACTGTTCTTGATACCAAGCTCACTCATGATTGCACAAAACACAGAATATATATATCTCTTATCTATAATACAGTTATATTTAAAATGAAATTATTAGTATTTATTACATAAACTTAACGCTGAGTTTATTATTAGTATTGATTATATATAAGGAAGTAATGAATTTAATTGAGACGACGACTATTTTCAAACATATTCCCCTCTCAAACAACAAACGGTTTCCACATTTTGCTCATTAAATAAAAAAACTTTTTTTTCATTAACACCAACTTATACTTAAATAAATATATCACAAAAATGTTCAATCATATAAAAATGTTTGAAACAATTAATTGTATTTTTAACTCCAAAAATATCTTAAACTATCGCCAAAAATAATCGTATGATTTTGATGAGTGTGTTATGATTTGCGGCAAACTGTATGGAAAAACATATAGTATTTATTAATCTTAAACTGGTTTTAGTATAAAAATACATTATATATGAATAGTTTGTGATAAGAAAAGGCGTAATAATTTAGTACTAGAAGGTCGTGTCTCAGTTTGATTTTAGATACTGTTGGACTTTATATGCCATTTCATATGTACTCGTGTCTAAGAATAGTGATTGTGTTTTAAACTAGCTTTTAATTCATTAACATTATTAGTTGGAATTTTTATTATACCGGTACAAATTATTTGTGTTATTTTAATAATGTATATTTATTTTGATTCAGAATTTCCATTCTGGGAAATATAATTTAAACATTTTATAAATTTTAGGCAATTCCTTACAGTGTAATGTACTCAATACTGTAAAGTATAGATACTAAAAACTTTAAAATCAAAAGTTGTACTCATTCTCATTCACGTCATACATACATACATTGGACCTAATATTTGACGGCTATTTCTTATCGATAATAAGTTATCTTATTGATAAATATGTGTTTATAAGTGAGGGTCAGTTATAAACCAATAGTTTATTCACATTCTATCAAAAATACAGTTACAAAAATAAAATTAAATATTGAACTAATCATATGTGAACAAAGTATAAAGTATCATAATACTAAAGAATTTATAAAGAATTTAATTCACATTACGCTTGGTAATTATAGAATCTTATCATATTGCAATAAAATCTACAATGTATATTGGTATTAAAATAAAAATAAATATTTTACGAGATATTTACCGAGAATATTGCGGAAAGTATACATATTGCCAGTCACTCATCACCCTAACCTCCCACCCCTCCCCCACCTCACTATGAAGCAAAATAGTGGGCACTAATGAGTTTATAATTAAGACTGTCATCACTTTTCCCTACCGTTTCCGACTCCC